GGCGTTCCCTACGACTTGCGGTTACGTCGGTGATCGCGCTTCACGTCGAGGGGTCGCGCGAGCGGCCGATGGGAGCCACCATCGCAGATGGATAAACTCCTCGAGGAGATGCTACGGCGGGTTGGCGTTCCCTACGCCTTGCTGTCACTTCGGTGATCGCACTTCACATCAAGGGGTCGCGCAAGCGGCTGATGGGGGCCACCATCGCAGATGGATGAGCTTCTCGGGGAGATACTAACAGCCCGCTCTATAGCATCCTCAATCAAATTACTCATCTGTGACCGCGCGCGTATTCGGCGTAGTGCTGAGCTCTCATGGCGGTCAGGTGGGGTCACATATGACGGTCTATGCGTGGGTGAAGGGTGCATTTAAATTTGTCACTTATTAACACCGGACCACCATGCTCCACAACCTTTTAGTGAAAAAGTTAAATCAGATCTTTTCGGTCGCCTTTGTCTGTGGTGCGTTTGCATTTATGACAAGGAGGGACTCGTCCTGAGGGATGATGCGAACAACCATGTAAACGGGTCCATAATTCCTCCTGATAAGGCACCAAAGTCCGTACGGGGGAGTTTAGATAAAGCAGGGTTGCCGCAACTCCCCGGGCCCCTGCCGCATCTGTCCAGATCGCACAATCAGGTTCCTGTACGGAATCCTGTGTGTGGTATTTTAGCTTTTCCAAAGTATATAATTCTCCAGCGGCAACATGTTTTTCCTGCAGTAGATCTACGTCAATGGATGTTTGGTCTTCTTGCTGTAGAATATGGTCGAGCCACTCTGCGTTAGTGTCCAGATTTTTTGTCATCCAGAGTCGTTCTGTGAACGAAGACCAATAGCATTTTCGTGTCGTCGTGTGTGGCACTGAAGACCAATAGTAAATTTCTGTGCTCGTGCGCGACCCTTCGCATGGGAACGGTGGCGGTCTCATTGAATTTCGCATCGTGTAGTTGGAAAACGTGCGCAAGAACCTAACCAAGATCTTTTCGTCATGTTCTACTTTGGAAAGTCAAGAAACGAGTGTAGGCTGAGTGTCGTGACTTTAAAAAGTACGAATACAGAAAAATCGTTGGGTGATAAAGAAACCTGTCGATGTTATTGATGTTCGACAGAGACGAACAAATGATCCTACCCATTAGCGTTGTCGACCATAATTGCGCCCGACGACATGTTGTTATTAGCAAAAAGATAAATGACTTGAGGGATCTACGTCTGAAACAAAGAGACCAGGGAAACCATACATTCTAACATTGTCAGTTTATCAAGGTAGGCGGATAGATAAATAACATCGCTTTTACTGTTTGCCTGACGCGTGGAATCTTCGCGGAACTCAAGTGTCATATGATCATTAACTTCCTTGTTGCCGCTGGACCATTTAAGTCAAACACGTGCAAGCATCGGTGCGTGTGCAACTAAACTCTTTACGCTAAAGCAAATGAAATCCTGCACAAAGATTGGCGCCCATGCAAAGATGACTAACTACATTGACAATGAGAAGGGTGCGGGATGGATTGCACATGATAGGGCGCGTAAGGTACATCCATCTTCATTTACACACGGAAAGACCCAAGGTATTTTTAAAGTTCGGTGTAAACTGTAATCAAACTAACTTATACCTTCACCCTTCCAGCGTCCGAAAAGTAGTGACTTGCATCAACTGTAATAGATTCGTAGATATTCGCTTAATGGGCGTAGCAATGAGATTTACTTGCCCTTTATATAAACGAGTACTTAAAATTTTGGGCTAGATTGCAAAATCCAAGCAAGTGATCGGCAGGTACTCCACTTTTGGTGATGTAAGCTAAATAATTAATGTTGTCTTTTAACTAAGACAGCAAATTGACCAGCAGTGTCAAACGAGACTCAATTCTGTTTTACTAAATGCCATTGACTTGTTTAAACTGCTCTTGGCATGGACGAAATACGAGGATAGCAGCTAAAAGCTTAGAAAAGAGTCATGTCAAGTGTCTTGGAAGGCAAAAGTGATTGCTTTGATACTTTTCTGTCCTAAATTAAAACTGTTCCTAGATATAGACAAGTTCAAATATGAATCATTGGTGTAATCAACAAAATGCAGGATACATGCACCATATTAGCGCACTATTTTAAGGAAAAGGTTACCGTACCGGTCGCGAGTAGGTAATAGTACAGGATTATTGTTGTGGCCAATCAGAATCAGACTTTTTAGTCCTTTTTTCATACCCAATCTAGTTGTGATGATACCATTATCAATGTGGTATACCTTCCCTTAATCTCTCTATTTGAATCGCATTTGCTGTAATGGCGCTTGCAGGCAGGCAATGGTCGATAAAGCGAAAGGTTAGAGAAAAACATCCGTCGATGAAATGTGTACACAGCAAATATTTTGAGGCAGTAATCTTCTATAAATGCGAACTGCATTTGTGTCATACTAAATACATCGTATGTCAAACAATGATCATGTCTACTTGTTGCCTAAATAACATTAGCACGATGGTGAATTCAATATTGTGGCAAATATTTTAAAGACCTTACCAGTGAACACGAGCATAACATTTTTGTAAATTACAATTTAATAATGATGCGGCTAGCAGCAGCGTTTTCGGTAAAGAAGTCACTTACATGATGACGACGATAACACCAACGACGCGAAAACCGCTAACACGGCCAGATTCAATGCAACCAGCGTCAAGGATTGAGCAGGAAAAATCATTTGTAATTGAAATTTTAATGGCAGTGGACTTTCGCAAGCGTTCTATTAATGGAAAGCAACATATAGACACACAGAATTGCTATGTGGTATGCGTATGTACGTCCCAACCAAATGCAGTGTACCCTGCACGTGCAGTATCCCATCAATAGATCCAAATAAGTACTTAACGAGTGAGTGTTATATACACATACATATGCTTCTAACTTCGTCCTAGTTACTACCTTCATTTCTCATCGCGTTCTGGCAATCACTGTCACAGTCTCGTACTTTTTTTAAAATTTGAGAAGGGGCAAAAAAAGACGGATTGCACATAAAATGGCGCGTAAGGTACAGATAGATTCATTCAAACACGGATAGGCCCAAGGCATTTTAATAGTTCGGTGTGAACTGTAATCAAACTAACTTACAGCTTCACCCTTCCAGCGTCCGAAAAGTAGCGACTTGCAGCAATTGTAATAGGCTCGTTGACATTCATTCTATGGGCGTAGCAATGAGCTTTACTTGCCCTTTATATAAACGAGTACTTAAAATTTTGGGCTAGATTGCAAAATCCTAGCAAGTGATCGGCAGGTACTCCACTTTTGGTGATGTAAGCTATATAGTTAATGTTGTCTTTTAACTAAGACAGCAAATTGACCAGTAGTGTCAAACGAAACTCAAATCTGTTTTACTAAATGCCATTAACTCGTTTAAACTGCTCTCACACTGGACGAAATACGAGGATAGCAGCTAAAAGCTTAGAAAAAGAGTCATGTCAAGTGTCTTGGAAGGCAAGAGCGATTGCTTTGACAATTTGTTTTGTCCTAATCAGAAACTGTTCCTGGATATAGACAAGTGCAAATATGAATTATTGGTGTAGTCATCAATGTGAAGGGTTTAGCACCATATTAGCACATTATTTTAGGAAAAAGGTTATCGTACCGGTCGCGAGTAGGTAATTGTACAGGATATTTGTTGTGGCCAATCAAAATCAGACTTATTAATCCTTATTTGTCATGCTTACTTATGTTATGATGATACCACTACTAATTTGGTTAACCTGCCCTTGATCTATTCATTTAAATCGCATTTGCTGTAATGGCGCATGCCGGCAGGCAATGGGCTATAAAGCGAAAGGTGAAAGAAAAGCATCCGTCGATCAAAATCTGTGTACAGTAAATATTTTGAGGCAGTAATTTTCTATAAATGCACACTGCACTTGTGTCATGCATTACAAATTTTCATTTTATATAACAATCATTTCTATAAGTCGCCGAAATGACATTAGCATAATGGTGAATTCAATATCGGTGGCAAATTTTACATACTCTTTCATGGAACACGATCAGCACATTAGAGTAAAATCACGATTTAATAATGATGCGGCTAACAGCAGCGTCGTCGGTTAAGAAGTCACTTACATGATAACGGCGATAACAAAAACTATGAAAAAACCATCAATACATCCAGCCTCAAGGCAACTAGCGTAAATATGTAAAGAAGAAAGTCATTTTTAGTTAAGAATTCAATGCAGTTGACTCGCAGGCGTTCTCTGATGTAAAGCAGCAAATAAACACATATAAGTGATATGTGGCATGCTTTTGCACCTCCCAAACAAATGCAGTGTACCCTGCACGTGTAGTATCCCATGCACGTGCACTATACCACCTTCCCAAGTGATACGTGAATATACAGAACTTGAACCTTTGAAGGGCTGTGTTACATTTTCTATAGGTGTTCTCCAGAGCTTGTCCCTCCTATCATATAACACGGGTCCTGCTCGTATAAACATCGGTGGAGTGGAATACGGAGAACTTTACTGAACAATACGTGTGTGTTAAAATAGTAGGGACAGCAGGATGGCTAAAAGACTGTAAAGCGTTTCTTATGCTAATTGCTGCAATTGTGAGGATTTAACGGCTTGCGTTATTACTTAATCAAGTAAAATCAAGGCAAACGTACAAAGAGGGACGGTCGGGTTCAGGGATGTGGGTAACCAATTGATGTCAAAAGACCGGAAGTGACCCCTATTGAAATGTTGGAAATGGGTGCAAGGGTACGTAACGGCGATCGGAATGTTCGGCCGGTGACTTGGGCTTTATTTAGAAACGTGATGTCACAAACTCGCTGTGCGTTAAAGGTGGACGCAGAGTGACAAGCAGGATAGTGATTCGAGAAGAGCCATAATGCTTGTGAGATGGATGACTGAAGCAGAGGGCTTTGGCGAGCATGGCAGAGAAGAGAGAAATAGTAAGGAAATACAACAGAATATTATTATTCACCTAACGATTCCTTCTCGCAACATGCATCTTGCCCACAGGTTATGAGCCCAATGGCCGCAACCACCGAACCGACTAAGAAGACACCAGGGGGTGTCCCGCGAGCCACGCCTGGGCGCGGCTCGCGAGACGATAAGATCCTCGCCGCACTCACCGACCGACTGGCAAGCCTCGAGTCGTCGCAGAAAGTACGAGACGAGGAGGAGCGCGTGCTCGGGGGCCGTGGAGAGCGGACTGTCCGCCTCGAAACTCGGCGCCAACATGCGCGGCCGACCGATGACGATCGACACGATCGAAGACGCGGAGGAGAAGGCACCGGTGCCGCGTGGGTACCAGCGCGCGACTGATCTTGGCGCGTCGCGATTCGCATCGCTCGAGCCACACCGCGCGCGCGGAGCACCGCAGCTGTAGTAGCGCGCACCAGCGTCTGTGCCACCTCCGCAGGAGTATGCAGCGCTACCGCCACCACAAAAAGTCGCTCCGCCACAAGTTTTTGTGCGACCGGGCCTCAACGGCTACGAAATGCCGTCGGCAAGCCAGCGGAAGTTGAACATACGCAAGTTCGATGGTACGGAGCTGTACCGCGGAATCGGAAGCGGATTTTTTGACTAGGTGCGTACGTTTCTGCGCGCAATGAGCCTCGCGGAAGCGCCGTGTGATTTCGGATGGACCGAAGACGTCAAGGTTGACTTGCCTGGGCACTTTCTCGCCGGCACGGCTGAGATGTACTATCACAAGCAGGTCGATACCTGGTGGACGCAGTCACCCACACTGGAGTACATCATGGAGCAGATCCTGCGCACGTTCAAGACTTCAATCACTGCAAGCCAGGCGATGAAGTTATTCATGGCCAAGAAGGACGCAAGACGCACCTGGGCCGATCACTTCCTGTACATGGTCGCCGTCAGCGAGGCGCGTGGTGGTGCCGACTCGCTTGTTCTTGATAACATCGTCCACCAAGCTTCGCCGGAGCTGATGAGCGTGATGCGCTACAAGTATGAACCCACGCGACTCGACTACCTGCGCCATGCCGAGGAGATGGCGCACTTCGCGCAGTCCATTGAGCACGACAGCAGCGCGGTGGGTCGTGAGGTTGTCGCCGCGCACGTGGAAGGCAAACCTAAGGACGCGATCACGTGCTACCGATGTGGGCGACCAGGCCACATCGCGGCCGACTATTGTGTGCGAGTCGTGCACGACGACGAGACACCCGCGGAGGTGTGAGGCGCCAGCCTGACCCTTGCACTAACCGAGAAGCGCAGGGAGACCACGAAGAAGCGCAACATGAGAAAGAAGGGCTCGCGCGGCAAGGACGCCGCAGCGACCAATGCAAGCGATGGAGCGCGAGCCATAGACGACTCATGCGGCTTCGTGCTTACGACGAGCGACGGAGTATGAGTCACGGATGGCACGCGCGGCCTCGTACTTGCGGCGACCGATGCCACGGGCGTCGACCGAGGAGACTGGATCCTCGATAGCGGCGCGAGCCGGCATCTTGTCAATGACGAGTCGCTGCTGCTCAAGTCGACGGCTTGCAGCCACAAGATTGCACTGGCAGACGGCGAGTCGCTTCACATGACGCAAGTCGGCAGCGTGCGCCTCAAGGTTCTCGCGCGCGGCGCTGAGGCGGTAGTGGCGTTCACGGATGTGTACTTGGCGCCGCGACTGGCAAAGAACATTGTGTCATACGGCAAGCTAGCGAACAAAGGATATGCCCTAGAGCGCTCCGGCGACAGGCGCTCGCTCGCTCGGTGCAGAGATGATGCGGTCGCGTTCGATGTCACAATTGACAGCAACTTGCTTTATGTCGTGAAGAAGGCCACGCGCGACAAGGAAGGTGCAGGTGGCGACGCGATCATGGCGGCGCTCGAAGCGCATGCCACGGAAACCAACGCCGACGAGCCGCACGAATCCTCGCTGTTGCACTGGCACCAGCGGATCGGTTACCTTTCGTTTGACACGATCGAACGCATGGCGCGCGATCCGGCATCAGGCATTCGGCTCAGCAACAATAAACGTATGGCGTGCGTGTCGTGCCTCGAGGGCAAGCAGACGCGCAACGCGCAGTCCCAACAAGACAGCGGCAAGCACTCTCCCATCGATCGCATCGGCGGTGTCATCTGCTCGGACCTAAAGGGTCCACTGCCGCCGCGGGACCGACTCGGCAATCCTTACCTTGTGAACTTCGTTGATCACAAGAGCAACTACTGCCGAGTCTTCCTCGCGCACACGAGGGACGCTGCGGCGAAGCAGTTCGAGGCGTTCCTCGTTCACTTCGAGAACCTTTTCGGTTTCAAGGTCCACGCGCTCCGCACGGATGGCGGCAGAGAATACGCCAATGTGGACCTGTTCTGCGAGCGCAAGGGCGTCGCGCGCCAAGTGTCGGAGGCGCGCAATCAGGCCTCAAACGGCAAGGCGAAACGAATGCACCGGACAGTGCTGAACCTTGCGCGCAGCATGATGTTTGCCTGCGCGCTGCCCCTGATATTATGGGGAGACGCGGTGCTATACGCCGTTCACATCCTCAACCGGAGCCCCTGCGAGCAAACGAAAAGAGAGCGTCACCACTCGAGGTTCTGACGGGCAAGACGTTGATCTGCGTGGAATTGTCGTTTTTGGCTCCTAGTGCAGCGTGTATAGGGACCCGCGCCAGAACTCGCTGCTGCAGCGCTCGGGGCGCGCCATCATTGTTGGCGTCAGCGAGGAAATCAAGGGCTACAAGGTGCTTCTACCGCGTGACAATAAAGTGGTCGTCACGCAGCCCATCAAGAATATTGAGACATTGACGAAGGCGCAAAACGCGCAACTCCAGCGCGAGATGGACGTCAGCGATCGAGTCGGAGGCCAGGATGAGACGGACGCGCCAGCAGCAGCAGTGGCGAACGATGGTCGCGCAGAGGGCAACAGGGCAACGCGTAAAAGCAGAAAGCGATGGGAGCGAGCGGCACATGGAACACGCGGGGCGTCAAAACGCGCAGAAGCGGCTTCTTGTCAGGAGGAGACAGCCGCAAGCGGAAATGTTTTGAATGCTGCTTTCGAGCACGATCCGCTTATTTACGGACAGGCGATGCGCAGCGGTAAGCGCGAAGGGTGAGAGAAGGCGATGCAAGAGGAGGTCGCCGCGCTCGAGGCCAACGACGTCTGGACTATCACAAGGCGAACGGCAGGATAGCATGCGCTGCACACCAAATGGGTCTACAAGACCAAGACAGATGCGCAGGGCGACCTCGAGCGGCTGAAGGCGCGACTGGTGGCGTGTGGCAACGAACAGGTGCTTGGCGTTGACTACACGCTCACCTTCGCTGCCGTGATGAACCTATCAACGCTCAAAGTGATCCTGACGCTTGCGGCTACGTGGGGGGTGCCTGCCAAGCACGGTGACATCTCTAACGCCTACGTTAAAGCGGAAAGGGAGCCGCACCTCCGCATCTATCTACAGATGCCGCGCGGCATGCCAGTCTAGAAGAAGACGCTACGAGCGCAAGGCGTTTCGAACGCGAGCGAGCCGGTGCTGGAGCTGTGGAAGAGCCTCTTCGGTCTCAAGCAGGCAGGATGGCTGTGGACCAGCTGCTGCACTCGAAGCTCTCTACTGCCGATTTCACGCGGTGTGAGAGCGACATGCGTTTTTTCTGGAAGCGCGACGGCGACGACCTCGTTGTGGTCGGCGTGTATGTCGACGATCTTCTAGCAACATAGACGACCGCGGCGGCGGTCGAGAATTTCTTTGCAAGCCTCGCGTAGTTGTCGATCAAGGACCTGGGGCGTGTCAGCAAGTTTCGGGGCATGCGCGTGACGCACAACGGTCAGAATGGGTACACGCTCGATCAGGAGGAGGCCACCAGAGACCTCCTACGCGACAACGGACTCGCTGACGCCAACTCGACGTGGACGCCGATCGACGACAGCTGCTACGGGCTGTAGGAGGACGACGCGGAGCTTCTTGGGACGCCAAGCGCGCATTTAGGACCGACTGTGCGCCAGTTCCAGTCGCTGGTCGGCTCGCTGCTCTGGGTGGCTTGTTGCACGCGCCCTGACATATCGTTTGCGGTGCACTAGGTTACGAGACGAGCCCACGCGCCTCGACTAGCAGACTGGGGTTGGCTAAACGCATCGCGGGATACCTCAAAGCTACGGCGGCGCCTAAGGTCACGATGATCCCAGAAGACATTCTAGGTGCGGCAATGCGACTAGAAGCGTTTAGCGACGCCGACTTTGCCGCCGACAAGACGGACCGGAAGTCAATGACGGGCGGCATCGTGATGCTGAACGGAATGGCCGTCAGCTGGGGTGCGTGGAAGCAGGGAGGCGTCTCCCTGTCGACGATGGAGGCGGAATTTGTCGCGCGCGAGCTGCTCGGCCTGCGCGAGATGTTGTGCGAAGTGGGCGTAGAGCCCGCGCTTCCGATGCAGTTGTGGGTGGACAACCAAGCGGTGATCACGCAGATCGCGGGATAGGCATCGTCGCTGAAGGCGAAACATGTGGATGTGCGCCTTAAGCTCCTTTGCCCCGACTACTCACCTCAAGTACTATCACGGCGAGCTATGTCCGATCGGAGCGGATGCTCGCAGACCTCCTCACGAAGGCGTTGGACGCGACGAAGCTCTCGACACTGCGCGCACTCGTGCGCATTGGTTAAGAAAAGGTCAAGGACTATTAAGGGCGATCAAGAAGCTCAAGGATGGAGGAGCACAAGGACAAGGACATTTGCAAGCTCATAAAAATATTATATTGTATTAAGAATAGTAAGATAAAAAATTTATTCAAAATTATATAAGCCAGTAACACGCTTTATTGAACAGCATTTGACAACAATAACACTACGAAAAACATACACTGACTTTGTCAGGAACACGCCACGCATGTATCGACTCCAGGTCGAATAGTTGTCCCCATCGAACTTATCGATGAGGACGTTGTAGGATGCGTGGCCGGCAGAAGACATTGCGCTTGGGCCCATAACCTGTTAAAAGGTATGACACGGGAGTGACGAGAAGACCGGAAGAGACCGGAGGGAGCGAAGAGGCTTGAGGAGCGGAGCAGAGAAGACTTGCTCGGCAGAAGGAGAATTCGAAAGTGAATGATTATCGGGGCTTAGTACTTACTACCGCGACATCAGTTGAGTCCGCTTGGCGCTGTCATGGCCACAGGTACGCAACTGACTGCCAACGTGAGCGTGTCCATATGGTTTTGCACTGGCAGCATGCCGAACGTCGACGAAGGACGCACTCTCACCGGTGAGGGGGAGTGTTGGACATTCCAGATGATACTGATCTGCGTTTGCGGATCATGTTCGAGTATCACGATGCTTCTATAGGAGGACATCGTGAGATAAGAAATGAAATTAGGTGTGAGGGCGAGTCACGACCGAGGAGGAGTGTTGAAATGTTGAAAATGGGTGCAAGGGTACGTAACGGCGATCGGAGTGTTCGGCCGGTGACTTGGGGTTTATTTGGAAACGTGATGTCACAAACTCGCTGTGCGTAAAAGGCGGACGCAGAGTGGCAAGCAGGATAGTGATTCGAGTAGAGCCAGAATGCGTGTGAGATGGATGACTGGAGCAGAGGGCTTTGGCGAGCGTGGCAGAGAAGAGAGACTTGTAAGGAAATACCACAGAATATATTATAATTCACCTAACGATTCCTTCTCGCAACACGCATCTTGCCCACAACCCCGGTTCTAGTAGTATCATAAAAGTAATTGCGACCAAAGTAACTGACACACAAATGTTAAGCTTTTATAGATACTGCTTTCTGGTCCACGGTTTTGCTTGATGTCTACTATTATAAAAAGCTAAATGGTGTAATACAAAATGTCTTGTAGCTTTTGTACATACCCTCATCCAATTGATGTTGGAGCAATTCGAACTTCGTTCACAGCAAAAGAGAATCGTTTACTCGGTACAAATGCAAACAAACTGGGATTCTTTACACGAGTACGCAGAGTATCAGCGCATGCAGAGGTCTAGCACGTCGATACCTGGCTTCCTACCATCGCGACAGAAGAAGAGTAGATTGGCATTGTCTGGAATGCAGCATCAACGATGTGGTAACACTTGTAACCAGACCGAAGTTGAAGTACAACAGTTCGAAGAGATTAACGGACGACAGTAATTTTTCCAAGAGGCATTGCTGAATGTCGCGTCGTATGGAACGCAGGGAGACGACGACATTACTGAAATTGTGACTGCATCTTCTGTAATTACCGTGGCCTACGCAGTTGCCGGGTTGAACGTTTGGCCGAGGGTGCATCTATCGAAGAGGAAAGTGAATCTTTTGATGATGTAAACAGTGGTTGTGATGATGATGGCAGGAGCTAAGTGAGGCGTAGCTTAAGAGGAAAGCATTCAAGCGTCTACACGACTCAACTTCTGCTATTTTCTAAAACATTCTTGTGGCCAGTCAATGGTCTACATTATTATCAATATGGTCAATAGGCTATGATGAAAATCCTCCAGGGGTCGCCAACATGTTCTTCTTTTGACGAGGATTGGTAGTGGTCATTTTTACTACAATAAGAGAAAAGAAAAGAATAAATGTACAAAGGAAGCTAGAAGCGCGATAAAGAAGTATGGTGGTTAATGGTACATAAAAAATCTGTTGTGGATGTCATGGCCGTGAAATAGTATGTGTACCGCTAAAGCTACAGAAACAGATAGTTGGACCACACATGCGGTCCAAAAAATTAGGCGACACTGTCAACTTCGTCGCTTGCAAAGCTTAGCTTTCCTGTAGCTTAAGTTACTTGAACGCAGATGGCTGCACTTACAGCAGTAACAACAGCAAAAACAAAAGCGATAGAACACCGAGAACAGCTACTACAACACAAACAGCAAAAATATTTAATTCGCAGCACAAATCTTAGTCAAGGCGCAGCAAAAACAAAAAAGATAAGTTGTACTACTGGTCCAGCACAATACTGATGACTATGTCAACTTCGTCGTATGAAACGCTCGGCTTTAAGATAGCATGAGGTGCTCGTGTGGTATCGAATTCTGATTTAGTTGCGGCAATCATTCTCCGGATACTTTCCGGTACGCAGCAGCTGCTCTAAAAGTGTTTTCAACAGCAACATCAACACCAACGACAGCAACAAATACACATGCCAGCACAAATGATACATGAAGGTGCAGCAAAACACAGAATATTCAAAGTGTAAACATGTTGTTTCCTGACCACTTCATCCAGACCGCATTCAGCGTGCCTGCTCGCTGCCAGCAAGCCGCACATTACTGGCCTTCCTCTTTGGCTTGTCAGCTAGCGGTAAATTACAATCCCAAGCTGAGATTGTCTGAATTAAGGTTCTGCAGATGTAGTATCTGTGACCGTAGTATTTATGCGTGCTTGCCTTTAGCAGCATCAACTTATAAAACGATGTATTAAATTCAGGCCTGGTCACCAAAGGTCACTTATGGTCACTTCACAAGTCATTGTGACAGTGACCAACCAATAAGCATTGCTACCGGTCCATTAATACCCCTGGTCATTCCTCAGAGCATCTGTAAGGGGATTGCACGGTTTTCATTGAACCGCTAATGTTGTGTGTACACACCAAGTAAGGATCGGTGGATCTGAGTGGTACAGTATTTGTAACATGTACTTACGGTACCTTATTGGTTAGGGATAAAAGATAAGACTTCTGTCATAGAATCGTAATTTTTTAAATGAAAGCCAGTCCTACAGGTGTTTACACCATCATGCTTCATGGGTTAAAATTCTATAATGTAGAAGTCAGATAAGGTGTTGGGGTTTTATTTACCGTAGTGAAAGAATAAATAAAGATCATCCCCTTTTAAAACGTTGCACACGAGTTCCTTGTAAAGGCGTAGTGTGTTGCTAACACCATTAGCCTTGTATAGGCGCTTACGCTTGTTTATCTAGTAGTGACTAGTTAGTGTGTGATTCTGTGAATCGTCATCCCTTTGGATCCGGGATGGTTAAGCTTATACGCTTGAGAGACTGTCGTCGTTGTTAGTTTGATATAACTACGATACTCATTAAGTCTAAGATTTCCTCTGTTAAGGAGCGCTAAGTAGCTTTGCTTTAGCATCTCTAGCAATTACAATGACTAAACTTTTTCGATACCGATCAGAAACTAGTATAGCTTTTACTTAAACCTAGTTACATAAAACTTTACAGCAGCTGGTACAGCTTAAGGGAACAACCGATCGATGATATCGTGTCGTTTCGTCGCCGGAGGTTTTACCCACTGAGGTAGCCAAATTCAAATTAAAACTGATAATTGCAAGGTCGCTGCTATCCCAATGTATGCATATCGATGTATTTGTCGATAAGATCGAGCTTTTCGTTTTCTCATTTGTCGTTTCACTTTCACGATTTCTTGAAAAGTATAATGTGCAGACGATGAAGCCGGCATAGTGCGATACAATTAACAGCACATGCTATTCCTGCCGAGTACATGCGGCTAGTCAGATGAAAATGGCTACTAAGAGTGGTTGATTCTGTGTGTCAAAACGCAAAGCGATTGAAAAGCAATAGATACACAATAATAACCTTTATTGAATGTTACCGGTTACTGGATAAGTTAACCGAGTTTATTTCTTTATAATAGGTACCGGTTTACCTCTCCAAATTGATCTTGCGTTATTTAAGTAAGACTGTGACCTCATCATGATGACACTATCCAATGATCAAATGCGTAAAATGATAAGACGCAGAAAAATCAAGATAGTGATATGCATCATATAATTGTTTGCAGTCCAGAGTAGGCAAAAGTTTAGACACAGAAATCAATTACTTTTTAATCTCCATTCTCCAGAGCAAATGTCATATCTTTGGCTTGTCCAAGTGCAGACTATCTCGCCCATCTCTAACTTTGGACACCAACAGGTAATAAGCCTAAATGCCATGACCTCTTCGCACGATGCCAAGGTCACCAATGACAAGTTCAATGATGACAACTACGCGACTTGGAGACGATATGTGTGGCGTGTTCTTGCCCAAGTCGATGTTGCATGCGGTCAGTCAGGAGACAACGCCAACACTTACAAATCCTTACGCAAATGACGAATATGTCAAGACGAACAACATCGCGTTCGGACTGATGTTGCTCCACATGAACGCCGACTATCATCATGTGGTTGACGACTGCGAAGAAGCGATGGGTCGCGTGGGCGCGCATCAAGATGCTATACGAAGGATTGCCGAATGCCGGTCGCATCTTCTTGAAGCGCCAGTTTTTAAGCATGGAAATGGTGGGAGGTGGCAATGTGTTGCACCATTGCAATGAGGTGCTGAAAATCAGCGCAAAGCTGAGAAGAATCGGCGTCAAGATGGAAGATGAGAACGCTATACTTTGCCGGCTGCGCAGTCTTCTCAAGAGTTACGAGAACATAGTTCTCAATTTGGACATGAACAGTGCTGAACTTCGGTCGCGCAAAGTTTTCAAGGTGCTTCAGAACGAGCGCATCAAGCGTCAAGGTATCAAGAATGTGGCGGTGAAGACCGAGAACGCATCCAAGGCATCCAGTGCTGAGCGCTAGCCGCATCAATGCTCGCATTGTGTCAAATTGGACCACACAGTGAAACGGTGCTAGATCAAACAGAAAGCGGACGACTACAAATATGTGGATCGTTCCGCCTTTGCAGTCATGCTTGAGCGTGAACTTTTAACTGACAAGATCATGCCGGGGATATGGGCGGTCGAAAGCGACACAAGAACCACATCTGCAATATAAAGACCACATTCACGATCCGCGACGAGCGAAAAGAAGGCGAGCTTTCGGAGGCCGATGGCAGCAAGGCTTCAGTTGAGGGTGTGGTACCATTATGTAATCGACGATTCTACGTAATGGTGATGAGCGCATTATCAATTTAAAGGGTGCGATACCTGTGCCGAGCATGAGCACGAATCTGCTATCGGTGCCGCAGATCAACAAAACTGGAAAGTTTTAAAGTCGCATTCAATGCTCACAAGAATCACGGGGCAAGCAAGAACTCGACACAAGTGGTGGCTACAGCGTCTCAAGGTAGCTTTGTTAACTTTGCACGCCTTAACGGTCGACCAACACGGCGAAAACAACCAGGTTATCGATCTACATGCTCGCACGGGTCTCTCACCGTTTTACGTTCTTCGCAAGAAAGTCAATAATGGTCTTATCAAGGAAGCCGAATTTCCTACCAGGCCGAACGGATCAAGATTTTATCATGGGCGTCAATAGACAATACCCATTCTTGAGCAAGCGCGACAAGCATCGTTACAACACGTTTATTTATTCAACTTCAACATCTTCAGCCCAATCAAAGAAGTTTTGATTGGTGAAAGCAGAATATTGGTGCTGATTGTTGATGATTCTAGCGGATGCGCGAAGGTCTTCTGTTTACGTCCCAAGTCGGAAAACGATGACTGTAGTGAGACCTACATCATCACGATCGAGACCCAATTCGACAAAATGGTCAAGCTCATTTGTCATTATGGAGCGCTTAAGTTTGCATCCAGATCATTTGAGGTCTTCTACGAGGAGGAAGACATCTAGCAGCAGACAACGGTGCCGTACGCGCACCAGACCAGCTGCATTGTAGAACGCGCCATTCGGTCCACTGTCACTTATGGCCGCGTTTGCTGCTACACGACAAAATTGACACGTGTTTCTGGGCTAAAGCGGCAATGAAGGCCATCTACATCGAGAACCGTCTGCCATTGCTTAAATCCCATTCCAAACGCTGTTTGAGATCGTGTGTTGCTCAAAGCCAAGTGTCAAGCACATGCGTATTTTCGGGTGCCAACCGTACATCTTGACTCCGACGGAAAAGCGTCTCGAGGGGAACCACGAGGCTCGTGCCGGCATCTTCATGAATTACGAAAAGCATCCAAATCACGTCTTTTGCTCGACATCGAGGAAGGACAAGTGGTAATTATCCTTGAGGTCATCTTTGACGAGTCATCTTTGGTTTTTTTTGTATGGAGCCATCAAACGAAGAAGTAGATGACATAACGTTGGACCTCGATCCTGTCGACATCAACGACAATGGTGTTCGCCAAAACAACTACAAGTAGAGCGGCAAGCGAGAGACCCGGCCGAGCAATAATGCTGTGTGCCTAACCCGTCGTCAAAATAGGCTGGATGAATTAAGTGCGCCAGACAGCTCATTCGATCACCACTAGAAACCTCGATCCAGTGGCAGACAAGACCCAATTTATACTGGCGATAAATAGATAAAAAGGGGGCGTCAGCGATCGAGATAATGACTCTGAGCCTCTTACTCTACGGCACGCAAGTGCTAGCGCGGTAGAGGAGGGTAATTTGGCCAGGCCTGCAACGTTCCAGGATGCGGTAAACGGACATGGTAAATTTTACTGGCACAAGTCCAGTCGAGCCGAGCTCGAGTCGATGTAATTTGTAGTATCTTTCGTGCTGCCAAGTTGCTAAGAATCCAGCGCGCTATCGGGACCAAGTGGGTGTTTAAAAGATTAAGCGTGAGGCGAGCGGATCGATCGAGAAGTTTAAGGCGCGTATCGTTGCGAAGTGTTTCAAGCAGAAATTTGGGCATCGATTACACCGAAAAATTATCACCGGCGGTCGAGAACGTGCCCTAAACATGATTATTGCGATCACCAATTACTTCGACTGGCCTTTAGACCAATTTGAAGTGGACTCAGCATTCCTATACGGAGTGATAGAAAACAAGGTGTTCTGTAACATTCTAAAAGGTGTTAGGATGGACGGCGACTTTGACTGTCTTGAGTTAGTCAAATCAATCTACGGTCTCAAGCACGCATCGCGCGTGTGGAACGAAACTTTTTACGACTTCGTGTGCTCGATCACACGAATTCCAATTATCGGCATTTGGTTTGTCTCTACATCAAAGTAGTCGACGGTCACCGCGTGCTAGTTCTGATATACGTGGACGACGTGCTGGTGACAGGCAGCTCACCCGACATGATCGCAAAAACTAAGGTCAAGCTCAAGACGCGTTCGAGATGACCGATAGCGGCAAGTGCACTTTTGTGCTGTTCTTCAAAGTGATCGACGGCCCTGATGGAGGTGCCACCATTTGCCAGTGCCGCTACGTCAATGACATCATCAAGCGTTTTGGTATGGAGAAGTGCAAGTACACGGCTTGTCCGTTTGATCCGAGCTCTCAGCTTGTGCCAACCAGCAATAAGATTAAGGTGGACACTCCGTTTTGCGAAGCAGTGAGAGCTTTGCTGCACTTGGTGCTTCTACGCGCCCTGATATTGCACATGCTTTAGGCTATGTGTCGCGCTTTATGGAGGATCCGCAACGAGAGCATTGGCAGTGAAGCGCATTTTTGCTACCTGCATGGCATTAAGTCGCATAGGATATGATAACAGCCGAGCGACAAGATCGGCTTTCGTGAATATTCCGACGCGGACTGGTCCGGCGACCATGCTGGTCTTGAGTCGACTTCAGGCTACGTATTCATATTGCTAGGCGCTTCCATCAGCTAGGGATGCAAAAAGCAGTCAATAGTGTCGCTGTCGACGAGTGAAGCGGATTGCATCGCGCTAAGTCTGGCCGTACAGGAAGGAAAGTGGATCCACCGTCTGCTCTGCGCGATGATGACGGCTGCCAACGAAGAAGGACCAGAGCTTGTCATCTTTGAAAAAACTCAGTTGTAGATTCAGATGACGAATTACCTTTTGAATCATGGTCAAGATTTGCAAAACAACGTCAAGTACCACCCCATCCTTAAAAAGTTTAAGTGCGGTAAGTGCAGCTTGAGTATTGCGAGACTTCGACGATGCTGGCAGAAATTAGGGACCAAGGGAATTTATGGACCACGGTACAAGGACCTAAAGGATGCTCTAGGAATTGATGGTAGTTCGTATTGAGGGGATAATTAATGGTTACCGCTTATAGTACTCTGTTATAGATACCGGTCTACCTGGTCATTTTGATGTCGCGTCATTTCAGTAAGTCTGTGACGTCATCCTGATGAATTCATCCAATAACAAGATGCGCAGAATGATAGGGCGCAGATAAATCAGGTTGATTAGATGCACCATGTAATTGGATGCAGTCCAGAGTAGGCAAAAGCTAAGACATAGAAATCAATCACTTTTTAATCTCCATTCTCCAGAGCTAATGTTACTGCTTTGGCTCGTCCAAGTGCAGACTCTCTCGCCCACTTCCAACTTTCGAAACCAACAACCTCATATTCTACTGAAACGCAAGGCCGCTGTAGTGGGTGAGAAAGTTTTCGTGATACCGGGGCTACGATTTCGCGTCACGAAAAGGCTGAGGCTCAAGAGGAGAAGGAAAAGCAACTTTTTGTTCACTTACCCTTCTTTTTATCCTCACTGCGGAAAGCAAAGTCTACGTTCACCTTTCTGCAGAAATGTTTTCATGTTAAGAGCTCCTTTTTTTACAGACACTGGTATGTAATTTGGCCCCAGGGTTTCTAGAACCTGCGCATGCCATTACGTGGTCCTGAAGTCGGCCTATCAACTCCAATAGCAACAACGACGGACGTGAGTCTTCGACCGCAGAGAACTTTCGTAGTGACTTGGGACAGATTACATTGAGTATAAACTGTGGTGATGTGTTCAGTGTACTTTATAAGATTTAGTCGAAGCAAAGTTGCAATATCCTAAAAAAAGTTTGGACTACATCTTACAGCAGTTCTTTACCGGAAAGCGCACATTGCAAGAATGGTCCTCCAGGTTTTTTCGTCAACCTCGGAGCATGCTGGGAAAAGTGCCCCCGCACATGCCTGATTAAAGTTGGGACGGAGTATATTCGATGGAATGACAGTTGTGCATTCAAAGTCAGCAGTAATGCATTGTCGCAAGTGTCGTACCAGTGAACACATAGCATAAACGTTTCATTTGGACCGTACACCGGTAGCTGATTTATGTTAAATAATACGACGAACAAAAGAAAACGAAAGGACTCGATCTACAAGAAAGATATGTAGCGCGGCTTGAGCAAAAGAAGCAAATTAAACGAAACGATAAGGACCGTGTAAAAACGTAAAACCACGAAACACATGTTGTCGTCGATGTGTCCTATTTAGGGTTGCGGAAACCAAGGAATTCTCTCTTTCAGTCCTATATTGAGAAATTACTGCCTGATTGGATACATTTGTCGGTGACGGAGCAACAAGGTCGCAGAGATCGAGTAGTTTCCATAGCTTGATTGCGTAAGTCCAAACTCGGCCGAATGTGGCTAGTAGAAGTTTTGGTCACGTTAGTTTTTAGCACGAATTGTAACGGGGTGAATCGTTACATAACAATTTATAAGAAATTGTTAATAGAATATAACTATAAGAGTTATATTCTCAGAATATTGTCATAAGGACAAATATTCTGTAGCACTTACAAGTAGTTCCTAATTGGTTGATATAGGCCATCATATCAACCAACGAAGACGCGCCACGACAGACGCACGCAATGAGTGGTGAGCAGATAACTGATTTACACATTTGTATTTAGACATAGTTAGATGAAGATAAATAGTGATTTATTGCAGACATTAACTATGCTAAATACTGTTCTACTTTTTACTCTAACCAAGTACTCGCTTCTTCTTACCGTCTTCCTCTGCACGTACCAGTGTACGTGAAGTTACGAGGCACCGCCTTATTCTGTCATCAGAATAAGTAGCTTGTACTGTTACCAGTACAAGCTTCCGGGTGCCCCGTTACACCTGGTAGCACTTTGTAGTCCGTTTAAGGACCACGTTCACATCCAACATGAATATGTTGGATGATGAAGATGACCAAAGCTTTCACGCTACGCGTGACGGCTACTCCCATTTGAGCGATGTCGAATGGGATGCGGTTGAACGGATGGGTTCAACCATGGGCATCCATGCTGTTAGCGTCATGCTAGAGGCTCTCAATAGAGATGCCCAACATGCTACTATCGCCAAGTTCATTCAAAATGAACTTGACGCTGAACGCGAGAAAGTAGCCTTGCTTCACCAACAAGGTTCTCAACAAGCAGAGTTGTTGAGAGAACAGGATGTTCAACAGTTGAACTGTTGAGACAGCAGAAGGCTGGTGCTGGTGGGTCGATGCGCTCCCGCCGACCCGAGACCTTGAAGATTGACATCTCCAAGTATAGGGGGGTCGAAGAAGACTCCCTCTTGAGGTGGTTCGTCGAATTGGATGACGCCATAAGGGCGCGTCGCATCGACGACGGGGATATGCAAGTTGCATTTGCCCAGTCAAATCTGGCAGGACGTGCCAAGACTTGGGCACTGGGGCTCAAGCTGCACGACCCATATGCGTTTGGGTCGTTGGAAGTCTTCAAGTCGCGGCTCAGACAAACGTTTGAACCGCCTAGAGCTGAGTTCAGGGCTCGAAACGAACTCTTGAAGCTCAAGCAGGGTAAGCGTGATGTGCACGCTTACGCTCAACATATACGACATCTTACGAGTTGTATAAGTTCCAATCCGGTGGATGAACACACGTTGGTTTCGGTGTTCATGCAGGGTCTTGCGGATGGTCCCGTCAAGACTCACCTGTTCCGGCTTGAACTAGATTCACTAGAACAAGCCATTTCCATTGCGGAACAGGAAGACTTCAGTCTGAGACAGGCTCGCGCCAGCTCGACATCATATCGTCAACCGAGACGATATGACAACGGAGGTCCAGAGCCGATGGAACTCTGTTATGTAGAGAGCGAGAAGGCTCGCTCTACAGGCTACAAGAAGTTGCAGAGATGCAACAGATGTCAAAAGACAGGACACTACGCTTACGAGTGTAGTGCCCCTCGTCCAGTGTCTCGCGACACTGGGCGTAGTGACCGTCCACCCATGAGAAAGGGGCAGGGACGAGGGTCCGCAGTTGGTGCAAAGACGCAACAACGGGATGGACCGTCAAAAAACGGACAGGATCAGTAGGTGCGGAGCACCCTACTGGTCTAGCAACGTCAAGAGAATTTGTAGGCCTCTTGATGAAAGTTGCTCCCAACACACAAACGTTGTGCGTTTTTGCTCTAGGTAATGAGATCTCACTCATTACCTTGAAACTCGAAGTGACGAATAAGTTGTCCCTTCGAGCTCTAGTCGATTGTGGGGCGTCCAACAATTTTGTGCGACGCCAATCGCTAGAAGATGGTCACTTCAAGTTTGTTGAATGTGACACACCTCCTACGAGGATGACGGTACGTCTTGCGACAGGCGCATCCGTAACCGTCATGAAGCGTATAGTGAAGATCCCCTATACGCTAGAAGATACCCAATATGACGATGACTTTATCGTATTGGATTTGGATGACAAATTTGATGTCATCCTTGGAATACCGTGGCTCAGAAGGTACGAACCACGAGTAAACTGGCAACATCGGACAGTAACGATGCCTGCCGCTTGTTCATCAGGTGGCCATCTGATGAACGTTTTGGAGCGTCCACAAGCGTGTGGATGTACTACGAGTGAGTGCGATGGCCTCACTTGTGGTACGGTCGTTAGTACGACTGCACAAAACCTTAGTGTACCAAACGGTTACACTTCGGAGCAAAGTTCCGGCGGCTGTGAGGAAACACAGGCTGCGCCGAAGGTCCACCACTCGAATAAGTCGGGTGGACTGGGACAAAGATGTATCCCTAGCGGGGAACATCTAGAAGAGAAACAATCAATCGCTCAGGTTAAGCGAAACGATAATCCTAGATCGACTGGAGAGTCTTTCGTAGAGGATCTCGCTGTGGTTGCGCAACCCCAGCTAGAGGAAGTAAAGGGAATAAGTCCCAAGATTACAAATACGGCGGAAATAAGTTCCCCGAAACCCGCGGGAATAAGTCCCCGGGAAGACGAAGGAATAAGTCCTTCGAAGCCTGAGGGAATAAGTCCCCAGGAAATGACAGAGACATTGAATGTCATGGTCAATAACGGATCAAGTGTAGGCGCTTATACACTTGATCTGATTGCGCCTCCGAAGTTAACTTCGGAGATCACTCAGTTGCCAACGCTCGAGCATAAAAGGTTCTTGCGTGATCTGCGTAGTGGCAAAGTCAAGCAGATCTGCGTACTCGTCGCTGACGACGAGTGTGTAACCGACATAAGGTCAGCAACAGTGTTCACTGAGAACGAGAGAGTTCTCAGTAGTTCATCTATGGACGAGAGTGTCCTAGATGAAAAGACACGAATTGAGCGATATGACTCCCAATCATGGGAATCGCTCAAGAAAAATCCTCTCTATGAAGATTTGGTTGAATTCAAGGATGTATTCCCTGAAACTGTTCCGTGCGAATTACCGAAGGATAAAGGTATTCGACACGAGGTCGAGCTTAAACCAGTCTCGAAGTACTGTGTCACGAAGCAGTGGCCACTGCCTCGTGAACAAGTACTTGCGATCGACAAGTTCTTTGCCGATCGTTTAGCTGCGGGCCATGTGAGGGAATCAACTTCCCCACATAGCTCTCCGACCTTCTGTGTGCGAAAAAAGCACAGGAGGGTGGCGGATAGTGCACGCGTTCAACAAATTGAATGCTGCAACGGTACCGGCTCAGACGCCGATACCGAGGAAGGACGTAATCATTGATGGTATGTCAAAGAGTACCATCTTTTCGTCCATGGATTTGATGGATGGCTTCTATCAAATCCTTATGCGGGAACGGGATATACCCTATACCGCAGTTAGCACGCCTAGCGGCATGCTCTGGGAATGGCTAGTAATGCCACAAGGGCTCAGTAATGCCCCTGCCACGTTCAACAGATGTGTATCACATCTGTTGAGACCAGTACGAGAATTCGCGCCGAGTTATTTCGATGACGTATTCATCCATAGTCGAGCTATGGATGGAAAGTCGGACGTTGAGGTTCACAGGTACCACGTCCGACAAGTTCTTACAATCATGCGAAAGCATCAATTGTATGCTAACCTCAAGAAGTGTATATTTGCAGCAAGCGAAATACCACTTCTTGGGTGCATCGTTGGTAAGAACGGTGTACGTCCTGATCCCGAAAAGATCAAGGCGATCACCGACTGGCCTGTGCCGGTCGATGTCAAAGGTCTTCGAAAATTCCTTGGGCTAGCGGCGTATTTGCATAAGTATTCACGCAATTACGCCGAGATGACTGTGCACCTCTCTCGTTTGTTGAAAAAGAACGAGAGGTGGTTATGGAACGCTGAATGTCAGCGCTCCTTTGAGGGTATCAAGCAGAGCTTGATACAATCCCCAGTCCTAGCAATAGCCGATCAGGACAGGCCATTTCATGTGGTCTGTGATGCCAGCGATTTCGCAATCGGCTGTGCATTAATGCAGTACGATCTTGAAGGCGTTGAACGCGTCGTCTGCTATCAGTCGCGTCAGCTGCAACCAGCTGAGCGGAACTATCCAGTGCATGACAAGGAACTCCTTGCCATGAAGTATGCACTCGCGAAGTTCAGAGTCTAGCTATTAGGAGATAGACCCTTCGTTGTTTACACTGACCATGCGTCATTACGCACGGCAGTGAACAGCCCGCACCTTTCACAACGAATGGCGCGGTGGTTGTCATTCTTTGCAGAATACAACTTTACGGTCGAGTACAAACCAGGACGACTTAATGTCGTCGCTGATGCACTCTCACGTCGTCCCGACTTTGAAACAGTCGCGAAACCCAACAGTGAGACAGTCACTGTTGCGGTTATGACGTCCTCAGTCCCATCTACAACGTTGTATGATGATGTGAGGCGGGCATACGCCCAAGATGGTGAGATAGTGAAGTTGTTGACACATCTCTCCCAACCATCTCGAGAATCGTTGAAACGATTGTCGTCTGCGTATCGATCTGCATCAGATCGATACACTGCTCGTAACGGTTTACTGTATTATACAGCCGTTTCTGGTGACACACCACGTGTTGTCATTCCAGATGATACTGATCTGCGTTTGCGGATCATGTTCGAGTATCACGATGCTCCTATAGGAGGACATCGTGGCCGGGAGAAAACATATCTCACGGTAAGTCGAGACTTTTACTGGCCCCGCCAGTATCAGTTTGTGCGAAAGTATGTTCGCGCATGCGAAGTCTGTCAACGAGTGAAGTCAAGTCCTTCACTGCGTGCACCTTTACAGCCTCTACCGGTTCCGGCTGAGTGCTGGGAATCCATCTCAATGGATTTCGTCTTCGGGTTACCCAAAGACGCACGCGGGAATACGGGTATTCTCGTATTTGTTGACAGATTCAGCAAAATGGTACACCTTGTGGCTGTACCAGAGACAATCACGGCAAGTGGCTGTGCTTGTGTCTTTATTGACACCATCTTCCGACTTCATGGGTTGCCCCGTGAACTCGTATCAGACAGAGATCCACGATTCACTGCTGATTTCTGGCGTTCCGTGTTCAAATCACTCGGAACGCGCTTGAAGATGTCAACATCTGATCATCCAGAGTCAGATGGTCAGACGGAACGTGCCAATCGTGTCCTTGAAGAGATACTTCGAGGATACGTACACTCCTTTAAGAGTTGGAGTGAGTTTTTGCCAATGGTAGAGTTTGCCATCAACAACTCGGTGCATGCGTCCACGACACATACACCGTTTTACGTGAATGGCTTGCGCCATCCGCGTGTACCCACCTTACTAGAGTGTAACTCTGGTTTAAGGGGGGAGGGACTCGCGCGAGCAAAAACCGAATTGGTTCACGCTCATCACGCTCTGACGAAGAAGTCATTGCGTTTGATGCCGATATCGATAACATCGATATCGAAGAAGATGATCCCAGTGAGAGTGCGGAAGCCCTCACTGAAGAAGATGATCCCAGTGAGAGTGCGGAAGCCCTCACTGAAGAAAAGGTTGATGTTGCTGCAGTGCGCTCACAGCGCACTGAAGCTAACGAGTCATCAGATGAGTTCATACTGGCTCGTGAAACGGTAGTCCGTTTTGTGCAAGACTCCATCGCCGAAGCGGTGGATAAGCAAAAGCAAAACGCTGACAAGAATGGAAGGGCAAACACTCTTTTATTTAATAAAGGTGACTTAGTCCTACTGTCTACGGTTAATCTACCAAAGCATGTAGTGACTAACTTGGGTAGCAGTAAACTACTACCCAAGTACATTCGGCCCATTTCGTGTATTGCACCGCCTAGGCAATGCATACACGATCGAGTTACCACGTAAGATGCGAACGCATCCCACGTTTTACGTTGGTCGGCTTAAGCCGTACCATCAGTACGCTGCTTCTTCCGATGAAGAACGCCCTTGCGCTCAAGCATCTCGCAGAGAGCCTTGTGCTCCCGATGTTGGGCATCAACAAGGGTCTGAAGAGCAGCTATCTCATCCCGAGACCGATCAGCAATCCCACGAGCTACCCTTAGCTCGTCACGAAGAGATGTCAGAGATCTCTCGTTCTCGAGCTGAGCAAAGGAAAACTCAGCTCGATGCTTCGAGGCAGTGTCCGCCATTTGGAGACGCCTATTCCGCTCATGTTCGAGATCGTCGCGTAACCCTTGCGTTACGCGATCAAAGAAGCTCTCGGGTACACACCGATCCACATGATCGTGTGGAGAGCGTCTTTCCTCCTCCTCCACCTCCATTAGAGGACTCTCGCGGTGGCCAGCGCTATCTAGTTGAGCAGCTGTTGAACCACCGCGACGTGAACGGACGTCGGACGAGTTATCTCGTCCGGTGGCGCGGCTATCCCCCGTCCTGGGATTCTTGGGAGCCCCGCTCCCAACTAATGATCGACGTACTGGGTCTGGTTGAGCAGTACGACGCGGCACATCCTGTGCCGCAGAAGGACCGCCGGAGAAGTCTTCCCGGCACGGTCGTAAAGGGATTTCAGGTTGTCAATCCCTTCGTACATCTCAGTAGAGACACGTACGCGCCACCACGGGATGGTAAGGAGGTAAGCCTCCTTAGGTGCTCGTGCAGAGTTGTTCACACAACATGGGCACGAGTCTCCCCAAGAGAGGCAGGGTAATCCTTTCTCCCTTGACAGACGATGCAGCTTGTAGCGTGCACCTGTCGGGGTTCGCTTTTCAAACTTATCACGAGCTTTGATAAGTTTGTCGTTCCAAGCGTCACGACCTACATCCTCGAGGTTATGGATGTAGGCGTTCCACGCCTGAAGTAGTGAGGGACCATCACGTTTGTGATTCCCACTGTACCATCGATGTCTAAAGAAAGCATCGATGAAGAATTCATGTTCAGCGTGATAGTTTTTCGCGCTGGGGTCAAGGTGATGGATCCTTGACGAATCGAACAATCGTGTTCGATAACGATCACTCGTCGTCGCCGACAAGTGATCCATGACTGATTTAGGAGGCATCCATGCCTTCTTCTCAGGAGCGAGACGCGTCGGTCCCGCTCTTCCTGCGACGTGCCGACAGAAGCACTGGCACCTCGCTGTGAAGTGGTGTCCATAGGAGAACCGACACCACTATTAGCGCCCGAGTCTCGCGACCTCGAGCGCCTTCGCTTCGGCGATGGTTCATCTGATTCATCAGATGAACCAAAGATGCTGCGACGCAAAGCATCGTCCATGCCACGCTTGGCAGGCGGCTTAGATTCAATCGCCGTCGATACGGATCCGTCATCCGTATCAGGAGAGTACGAGACACCGAGCTCGTACTCTGTGAAGACACGAGTGTCTTCATGACCAGCGCCTGCATCACCAAGTGACACAGGCTGGGTCGCTTCAGCAACCGATGAGACATCAGTTGCTGTGGTTTCTGCTTCGGCGTCCGCACAGAGACGTGCAGACGCGCTCTCGGCGGCCTTGCTCGCGCATCGCATGGGCTTGTTTACCATGCGATGAAATGTTGGAAAGTGGACGCGGACCAACAAGTGCAAACCCTGTCCCAAATGATTTGGGACGAGTATCCATTTAGTCAATCAGTCACTAAAGTGACTGATGGTAAGGGGGGGTGATGTAACGGGGTGAATCGTTACATAACAATTTATAAGAAATTGTTAATAGAATATAACTATAAGAGTTATATTCTCAGAATATTGTCATAAGGACAAATATTCTGTAGCACTTACAAGTAGTTCCTAATTGGTTGATATAGGCCATTATATCAACCAACGAAGACGCGCCACGACAGACGCACGCAATGAGTGGTGAGCAGATAACTGATTTACACATTTGTATTTAGACATAGTTAGATGAAGATAAATAGTGATTTATTGCAGACATTAACTATGCTAAATACTGTTCTACTTTTTACTCTAACCAAGTACTCGCTTCTTCTTACCGTCTTCCTCTGCACGTACCAGTGTACGTGAAGATACGAGGCACCGCCTTATTCTGTCATCAGAATAAGTAGCTTGTACTGTCACCAGTACAAGCTTTAGGGTGGCCCGTTACACGAATGATAAAGTCTTATTTGCGTCGATTCGAAGTCCGCATGGTCTGTGTAATATTTTGTTTTTCACAATGAACTGCAGCCAATGACACGCCACTAATCTTAGACAACGAACTGATTAAATCGAAATCCTGAGCCGATGGACATGCAGTCTCAAAAGCTATTTCAGATGTCGCTGACCTGTCAAACGTAGGCGGGATATCAAAAAACAAACTTGTAAGAGTCGTCCCCCACATTATTTCGCTACTGTGGCGCACTTTTGCAGTGCAAATAAATAAAAACAGGCTTCTGATTGGACAGAAAGTTAAATCATGCTGGTGCTAGAGACGCTCTAAGAAGGCGGGATCACGTCCGGACCAAAGTCTCTGCTATTCGTAATACGCATCACAACGAAACTCGCCACCTGTCCCCTCTATCCACCAACCAGCTGACCCATTTTTACTCACAATGCGCATCTACTCAACTCAGCTACTGGCTGCTGTTGTGTTCATCGATTGCCTCTCTAGGTACCCCGCCTCAGGCTCGAAGACGGCGCGACCTGATGTTCCTTCCGTTGGTCATCCCGATGGCCATGCGGACGACATCAGTGACGATATCGCGCAACGAAACGACGAAGACGAGAGCGAAGCGAGGATTGGAATATCACCGGGCGAAATCTTAGCGTTTGCGGAGAAGTCACAAGCCATGAAGCGTCCTGAGTCGAGCCGAACGATTCCGCGAGAGCTCGATCTGATTTCGCGCGTGGGAAAAGCGAGTCCTGAGCTGAGCGAAACGGTGGCGAAAAGGCTTTCGCAAGAACCAGACCACCCAAAGCCTCTGCTCGATCTGATTTCGGGCGTGGGGAAAGAGAGTCCTGAGCCGAGCGAAACGGTGGCGAAAACGCTTTCGCAACAACCAGACCACCCAAAACCTCTGCTCGATCCTATTTCGCGCATGGAAAAGGAGCAGGCGCATGTCGTGGTTCCTCATTCGACGGACATCGAGAGGATCATCGAAGAGCTGAAAGCGCGTGCGGATTTGCATCCTGTGACGGATGAAACGTGGACACTTCTGAAGAAGTATGCAGAAAACGATAAAGCGGATGATTCGACACTGCGCAATGGTATTGGTGGCTTTACTGAACTCGCGATTGCTTTGCGGAAAGCTAAGGCGAAAGGTCTTGACAAGGATGAGGCACGTGCGGTGGAGATCAGGATGCTAAGTTTCTTGCAGGTCAAGAAAGCCACCAATGAAGTAGCATTTAACGGTCTGGGGCTCAAAGATGTGATTGAGAAAGAAGGCCTGACAAACAACAATCTGGCTCTATGGAAGGAGTACATTGATTGCTACAAACCGAATAATAGAGGCAATAATGCTCGTTTGGATTCGAGCCTACTATACATTTTCCGTGGCGACGAAATGAAAGTCTTACAAATTATTGCGGACGCTGAAGAGGGATTAAATCTTGCCTCTATGATGCTAAACGGGTTCATTAGAAAAAAAATGCTTGGTGGAAATTCAAACTACAGAGTCAAGAATCTTGTGAAGCTGCTCCTCGAGGCAAAAATGAGTGCATCTATGATTCACGATGTACTGGAGATTCTTCGGAAAGAAAAATTTCAATCGGACCGCGAAGGAGAATGGAAGGAGTTGACGTCAGCTTTGCAGAATACGCTGGCTAGTGGCTGGGACGACGCCGTCAAAAAAGCTGTGAGGGAGATGAAGCCGCGCAAAAAACGGGAAACGAAGAGGAAGGCAAACACTGCATTGACACTCGAGCTTGCACCAGCGCGAAAAAAACGAGCTCCGAGGGGCCAAAAGAGAAAGAAACCTTCCATTCGGCGTTAGGTGGAGCAAGACAGTGCGCCTTTGGACTGGCCTTGATAAAGGGTTTGCCAAAGGAATCTGATGCTTGTGGAGCAGGGTACTAGAGCCATCGATGTGTGTGAGCCTGCAAAGTGTAGAATACTTTGCTAGTCTTTATCATCAAGACAAGTCGGGTAACGTGGAATGCAACAACTTCTATGGATTGACCTTGAAGCCACAGACCCACATTTGCCAACGACGCGTTGGGCCAGAAACATGGTCGAACTGGAACATGTCCAGTCATTTCTTCAGGAGTGAATGGATTCTGACACGGCTTCTCTCTTGGATTTTGTCGCTGCTACACCCTGATGCAAGCGTGTCTTCTTTTTCCAACAGGTAAATCTGGAGTATTAGTCGAATCGGCATCGACGTTGAATGTGCGTGCTCTTCGATACTCGGCTGCTTATGGCACCATTGTTAAAGGCACGAAGTTGTGAGATCGATTGCATTCGTCATGGCATCGAGACTTGACAGCAGGCAAGCTAGATAGACATTTGACTTGACATGCTGGACAACATCACCAGCCATGTTTGTGTCGTGTTTGTTCATCATCATACGTGCGACAGGTGTAACCCAGCGACTCTGCAAGGCTAATTATAACTTGGCTCGCTGGGAACCATATCCCTGGTGCTTTGGCTGCTCTATACAACCAAGATGGGTAGTAGAGCCCTCGTCCAGCTGACGCATTACGCGTGCCACTGCAGCTTGTAAGCAAAACGAGGGCAGGGCCGCAAGTTCTTACTGCAATCAGGTTTGGAATACTGCTCCGCCGGCTTGACATCAGCCCAGTGACTTCTTGTCTGCTGAAATATCGGCTTGGAGCTGAATCACGTTGGGCACGCTTACAAAACGTTTGCCACACACGGTTTACTGCTGAATGATAAGTCTCGACTGTGGCAGTACAGACTTGAAGCAGCAAGCAAGACTGCCTTGTGAACAGCACGCATTACTACTGTTCCTCATGCCATACGCGTAGCACCATCGCACGAAAGACAAGGCGAGCGGACTTCACATCCGTTCCAAGCACGACGCGGCTTCCTTGTACCCGGATTGAAACAGCAACTCTTGGTTTTGATCTCTCGCTTGAGGCTGGCACAGAGCTTCAATCAATCTTGCTCACACGATGCATCGTCTGCACTCCAGCAAGGGCTGCGATCGCCAAATCCACGGAGCCTTCCACATTGCTGCCAGGTACAATGGCGAGAGCACTCTGTGGGTCCAACTCAAATGCTAGAATCGTCACGCCCTCATTCTCCATGTGCAATCCACACTTCTTGATCTCAACCTTCCCATTGTTCACTCCGACAATCACGTTGCACAATTGCTTCAACAAATTGTGGTTCAGCAAACGTCGCACGCCGCCAGTCTCATCACTGCAGTTCTCCATTGCAGCCTCCACCTTTAGCGAAATCGTGGTCGTAAGAACCGTATCGCCGATGCCAGCCATGACGTGATCAATACCGAGCACGAAAAGTTTGCACCAGTTGCGGTTCGAATCACGCCCAGGTTGCGCGGCGAGCGCACAACATCCATAGCTTTCTGAGGCAAGGCTAGTTTCGTAGACCATTTGTGTTACGGGGTTGCACGAAATTATGGTACGTTGTACCAGGGGTGTTACACACCTGAGGTTATCCCTTTGTGAAGGTGATATCGAATATCTTATTGGTTTGTAGGGGCTGACGAGTGTCAGCCATTAGGTACGAAAGATCTTTGAGTAGGATTAAGATATTCTATAGGCTTTAACAAAATAAAATCAGTTCCCATTTTGATCTGAAGGACACGTGGCTTGCGAGCCGTCTTGATCGTTGATCACTGATCACTAAGAGCTAGCGACACCTCCTTGAGGTAGCTACTCTTGAGCACTGAGTGCTGTCGATTCACTGAATCGTTAGGTCCCCCTGGAACAGGGATCTGAAGCAGTAAAGCTTGTTGACTCGTAAAGTACTTAGTTCTTTAGAACTAAGTTGCTCGTAGAGCGGTTAAGTCTTCCTCTGACTTAAGGAGCTGTGTAGCTCCGCTACACTTGGTAGCACTCGTAGTCAATCTACGCCTGAGTCTTTAAGACTGATCCCCTGTGAGGATGGAAAACCCCACTCCCCTATCTGAGGCCCAAAAGGTCGCGCTTGATAAGCTGACCGCATCTTTGGGTCCCGAGTACGTGGAGTTCCTTGTTTCACAAGGTCCTGAAGTGCTTAATGCACGTGTTGAAAGCTTCATGCAGTATGAAGCGACCCTTTAGGGCAGGTCCAAGACCAAATAGCGTCGGCTATGCCTACACGCTACGTGTCTGTACCAGACGAAGAGGCTAAGCCTCGTCCACTTAGAGTGGAAGTAAAAAACTACTCCGGTAAAGAGGGTGAGAACCTCATCCTCTGGATCCGTGAGATCGAGATGGCCATGAGATCAGGTCTGATCACGCTTGACCATCAACAGGTCTCGCTGGCTATCTCGAAGCTCGATGGTAGAGCTAGAGAATGGGTCTTGACGTGTAGCACGTCGGTGGACATAGCGTTTCCCACAGGGGAGTCGCTCAAGTCACAATTGGTACAGGTGTTTTCTCCACCTAACCAGGCTTACCGCGTGCGTTCACGCTTTCTTTCTACCCGCCAGGGTAAAAATGAACTATCGGACTATGTCCTAGAGCTGCGAACGCTCATGGCTGCAATGCAGTCTGACCCTCTGCCTGAAGCAGTCCATGTGACTATCTTCATGGAAGGTCTACGTACTGGCATTTCCGGAACCGAGGTTTTTCAGGTTCACCCCTCTACGTTTGAAGAGGCTGTGAGAATTGCTCTTAATGCTGAGCATAACTTCAAGTCGGCCAGACTTGGTTGGACTGGATTAAATCCTCGCTCTGTGAGAGAAAACTATTCGGGTACCACTGCCTATAATAGGCCGGAACCGATGGATCTCAGCTATGCTGAAAATGGAGGTGAAGCTGAGCTTCAAGCTGCTGAGCAGCAACACGTCGTACGACGATGCTTTACGTGCGGAAGCACTAAACACTTTCGGCCTGGTTGCCCTTTGCGTAAGCAACGCCAGGCTACGAGCCAACACTCGACCCCGAGTCATTTGAAGTCTGGCATGGCACGGGGAAATGCTGACACCCAGTAGGCGCGGGTCGCCCTACTGGGGAAGAACTATGTTCTGTTACACCTTTAGAAGGTAAAGGAATGCAGGGCTTAGCCCCAAAGAGTACCATACCTACAGGTATGGTGCGTGGATACAAGTCTGGCTTGTTGGTCGCCGAGGCGAAATTAAGGGCTTTGAGAAGCCTTGGTCGATATTGATCGATTCTGGAGCGTCTTGCAATTTTGCTCGACGCCGTTCCTTTGAGGGAAGTCAGCGTTATGCTGAGGCGCTTACAGCGCATGAGGGTGATTCTATCACGGTTCTTTTAGCGACTGGAAGTCGCGTAACTGTGCCTATAGTTCCATTGAACTTAGGTATAAAGTTTCTAGACTTTGACAGTATTGAGCGCTGTCTTGTCCTAGATTTGGACTCGAGATATGATCTCATCCTAGGTATGGCTTGGCTTGAGCGCCATGAGCCATGGATTGATTGGAGGTCCAAGACCTTAGGCGCTACGCGCAATGTTCCTGGCGAAGCTTTGGAGAGTCATGAACCCACCTTCGCTAGGCAACAAAAACGCTACTGGCGCGAGCCTTTGACAGAAGATGTCAATGTGCTGGATATTGGAATGTCTGAGTTATCTAACTCCAATGTTACAAACATAAGTTTCGAGCTTAGCTCGTCTAGTGAAACGGCACGTACTCCGTTAAGTGTTACTCGTTGTGATAACGAGTCACTGCATGCTAAAAGCATGGTTGGCCTAGGGCCGAGTGATCAAGGATGTGATTCCTTTGATGTGTGTATGGTGGCACGTGAAACTACACTGATTGCGGTCGGCCGTGAGAGCACCGCACTGAACGTCGGTAATGACATTTTTGGCGATACGCCATTTAGTGTGGGCGGCCGTGACGGCACCACGCTTTACGTCGGTAATGGCGTTGTTGGCGATTCGCCATATAGCGTGGGCGGCCGTGAGGGCACCACACCTAATGTCAGTAATGATATTGTTGGCGATACGCCGTCTAGTGTGGACGGCCGTGAGGGCACCACGCTTAACCCGTAATGGGTTGTTGGATACGCCATATAGTGTGCCGTGAGGGCTCCACACCTAATGTCAGTAATGATACTGTTGGCGATACGCCGTCTAGTGTGGACGGCCGTGAGGGCACCACACCTAATGTCGGTCAAGACAAAAGCTCTCGTATAGAGCGTACTATGGCTGGTAGTAACCATGGGGACAATATTGTCCCGACCCCTAAGGGGTGTAAGGTCTCGAAGAGACGATCGAGACGCCGGGTAGCTACTTTTAAGCGCCAGGCGTCCTCACAGTCACATAGTGATAATAGTAAGACACTATATACACTTGTTAATGGAGTGACTGGTCAGGTTGATGGCAGTGTTTGCCTTGAAACCCTTCCACCCGTGGACGCTCTTTGTGAGCTAAACGAAATGTCTGATAGCGAGTTTAGCCAGGCCTTAAAGGCAGGAGAGTTATCCGAGTTAGCGGTCATTAGACCTGATACTGAGTTGAATTTTTCCTCGATAATGGATGAGTCTGTCCTAGAGGATACAAAGGCGGCACTTAGTGCACGAAGTGGATCTTCGATCCTTAAAGATCCTTTGGATCCGTTCTATCCTTTAGTTAAGGAATTTCAAGATGTGGTGTGTCACAACCCACCTTCTGCCTTACCTCCCGATAGAGGTGTACGTCACGAGATTGACTTGGTTCCTGGAACTAAATACTGTGTAACACGGCAGTGGCCTTTGCCTAAAGAACAGTGTGACGTCATTGACGAATTCTTTCGTGCGAAGCACGCGGCTGGAATGGTTCGTGAGAGTAAATCTCCCCATTCAACACCGACACATTTTGTGTCAAAAAGCCAAATGGCAAGTGGCGTATTGTGCATGCTTATAATAATATTAATGCAGCCACTATACCGGCGCAGACGCCTATTCCTAGAAAGGATGTTCTTCAGAACAATATGGCAGGATGTACATTGTACAGTGCACTCGACTTAGTCGATGGTTATTACCAACTGCTCATGCGAGCAAGTGATATTCCGCTAACAGCGGTGAGTACTCCGAGCGGTATGCTCTGGGAGTGGCTCGTTATGCCACAAGGGCTATCTAACGCCCCGGCTACATTTAACCGGTTGGTAACGCAACTATTCAGACCTCATCGAGGCTATGCACAACGTATTTTGATGACATTTTTGTCCATAGTCGTGCAATGAATGGGCGATCAGATGTGGATAACCACATCGATCATTTACGAGCGGTGCTCGAGTGTATGCGAACGAATAAGTTGTATGCGAACGCATCGGAGTGCATCTTTGGTGCAGAAGAGATTCCCTTTCTAGGGTGCTTCATTGGGAAGCGAGGCCTTCGAGCGGATCCCGATAAGGTAAAAGCCATAGTCGATTGGCCAGTCCCCAAGAACCAAAAGGACTTGCGTAAGTGGCTTGGCCTTGCCAATTACTTACATAAGTACAGTGCGAATTACGCAGATATGGCTCGGCCATTGTCCAATCTCCTTAAAAAGGATGTGGATTGGTGTTGGAGTAACACCGAACATGATGCGTTTGAAGCCGTTAAGGAAAGTCTCCTTCATGCGCCAATATTGGCTTTGCCCGATCCTGATCGGCCTTTCAGTGTCGTCTGTGACGCATCTGACTTTGCCATAGGCAGTGCTCTGTTACAAACAGATGTCGATGGACGCGAACGCGTCATCGCATTCGAGTCTCGACAGCTGAAAGCTGCCGAAAAGAACTATCCAGTTCATGACAAAGAGCTACTTGCTATGAAGTACGCTCTAGTCAAATTCAGAGTACATCTGCTTGGCTCAAAGCCGTTTGTGGTCTATACAGATCATGCGTCATTACGCACTGCGACACAGTCGCCTCATCTCTCACAGAGAATGGCTCGTTGGCTTTCCTTCTTTGCCGAATATAACTTCGAGGTGAAGTACAAGCCAGGTAAGCAAAACGCTTTGGCTGATGCGCTATCGCGTCGACCTGACTATAGGCTTGCTCATGTTACGACTCTGTCGTCGTCGGTCACTGACTTAATCCGTGCGGCATATGCCAAGGATGAACAGTGTGTAGCTTTGCTACGGGCTCTTGGGAGCGATGAGTTTAAAGACTCGGACATAGAATTGTCGGCACGTTTACGTGCGAGGCTACATCGATATTCCATCGATAATGGCCTGTTGTGCTATCGCACGGATATTGAGGACAACCCTCGTATCGTTGTACCTCATGATGAGGAATTAAAGTATCGGATCCTCTATGAGGCACATGATACTGCTTTAAGTGGTCATCTCGGTCGTGAGAAGACTTATAGCTCGGTGAGCCAAAGTTATTGGTGGCCCAAACT